ATATAATTTTCAGTGCTGTCTTCCGCACACTGCAGCGCATGCTCATTGGTGCCTGCAGGTTTATTGTGGTACGCGATTTCTGTTTACTATTGCTTCTGCTGAGAGCATCCTTTGCTTCGATTTTCTCGGCGTGCTGTGATAAATTTTTCTCATCGTTTGTCTTTTTGTTTAGGTATGTTGCGGTCAACAAAGTGAAGTATGCATTCGGAATCCTTCGCACTTGTGTGCTGAGCTGCGCAGTCTCATGTGATTTATTGTTTTTTTTATCATTGCTTCACTTATATGTTTGTGATTTTTATATGTTTGATAATATGTTTCGTTACACTTTTTATTTTTTGTGTTTATATATTTTTGCATCAACTTTGGGAGAATGTAGACTGATTTGTATATTTAGCCGGTTAAGGATGGCGCTATGCCCATAATCTTCCTGGTGTTAACCTCCTAATACTTTAATTCTGATTGCAGAACTAGCTAATACTTTCCGAGTATACGCGTCTATGGGCAGTTGATGCAGGAGCATATTAAGCGCTTCGTTCGAATATGACATAAAGCGCCGGTAACCCCTGCAGAAGCTGCTCTTTGTACTTCATTTAGTTTTCTGATATTGTATTATTTTGTTAACGCTGCTCACTGAACATGTGACAAATAAGTTATATTTGGGCCCAGTTCATTCTTTTCCAGGTTTTATATTATATAATAGGCCATATATATTTTATTGTTTCGTTTTTCAATGTTAATTTTCCAATTCAGTTTGCTATTGATTTCAAACCCTAGGTATTTTGCAGTGGAAGACAGAGATATTGTTGTACCACTAAGTGAGGAAAGATTAAATTGAGATATTTTTGTTTTGCTCGTGAAAAGCATCAGTCTCGTTTTACTAGGATTTGCACTTAGTCCGTTGTTCGCGGCATATAAGTGTAAGCTTCATAGGGCTCTTTCTATAATCTCGCTGATTGTGGAGGGAAACATCCCTAATACCATCAACAATATTTCGTCTGCATATGCTATTGCTTTCACTCCTCCTCCATTGAGTTGAAGTAGTATTCCATTCAGCAGCACCACCCATAAAATCGGGACAGGGATACCTCCTCTAGCAGTGCCTCTACTTACGTGTCTTGTGCGTGTCGCTGAGCCATTTGATACTATTATAATTTGGTTCATAAGCATCCATCGTGTCTATCTGCGAATAATGTCGTCTATGTCGACATGCGACATTAATGAATAATCGTGCTTAGTTCTATATTGTTGAAGGCTCCTTCTATGTCCAGAAAAGCAGCCATTGTATAATGTTTATGATGTACTAGTTTCGGTTGGTCGACCATTTACTGATGCATGTTGGGCATTCGATACGCTATCTCCTAGGATTGCTCCTAAATGTATATCCTTCAGCCTTTGTAGAACCTTCAGCATTAAGGAGGTGAGGCTTATAGGTTTTAAGTCTTTTGCGTTACCGGTTTTGGCAGGTACCAACAAAAATAAATCAATGGAAAAAATAATTTTGTGTACTTTTTATAAAAGCCAATTTATTTGATGTTCATTTAAGGGTATTAAGTATGTAGTTTTATGAAAATAAATGTTATTAAATTTCTGACAATAACATATAAACAAAGCAAAACATAGCGACGAATAAAAAATCCATTAGAAAAAGTCTGCGTACAGGGTAAATAGGTCGAGCAAAGATATTCTTCCACCGAATTGTTGTTAAAATTTAATAGAAAATCGGATATCCCCAACAGCTTAAAACTTCCGCTAAAGGTGTTGGCATGAAATAGACAAGTTCAGAAGTTTCTGTCGAAAGTATGTGAGTCCATTCCTTTTTCAGCACATCCTTGAGCATATCCTTTAAGGAAATTGGGCATTGGCAGATTTTACGATCCTGTGAAGATTCAAATTTGGTAGTTCTTGTGGTGTTTGAAGCTGTTTGGGAACGTTGTAGAGTAACCAAAGCAAGCTTAACTATGTCTATGCTGTATGCGTCGGGTCGTTATCTTGTAGAATACCAGTCACTTCCAAGACACAATTCTCCCGCTATTTGTTTCAGATTTGTTTTAAGATATTAAGGTATGCAGGTTAAATAGCCTTGGTGGACTCTATAACTGCCATTCGGCCTACACCATTACTAGCTATATACCCCCATATCATTACTTGTTCACCACCGTGCTTCACAGCATTAATCAAAGTTTCCTTATCGAGTGCCTTGCTCGGTTTTTGACATAAAATCTTTCGGCCTTTGAGACTCAAAACTTGTTTTCATCGGACAAAATTATCTTCTGCCAAAACTCTCAGGGCTTGTTTAAGTCCTCTTTCGCGATAGCATTATGCACTTGTCTATTTACTGACGATATGAATAACCTCCTGTGTGGTATTGGGTAAAAAACCTGGTTTTTATTTATTTAATTTTGCGATTCGTATAAGTGCTGAGGGACTTCTAAATTTTTCTTAAAATTCTGAGCGATTTTGTTTGAATTATTTTGGGGGTTTTGCTTAATTTTTTCTGTCACATGGTTACGTGTTTCACGCTTTGGTCGGCCTGTACGTTACGAGATATAAAAAAGCCGGTATTTTTGTAATTTTTTATTATTCATTTTATGGAAGAATGGGTTTTTTTAACAGTTAGACCGATTTCACCGTATGTTTTTCCTTCTTCTAAAAGTTTAATCATTATTTCCTTTTCAGAGGATACGTTAGTTTTCTTTTGGGCGAGATTCGATGTTGTAAATTTAATAACAAACTGAAGAAAACAAAAATCGTTTAAAATTGCTACTTTTACATAAACAAGTAAAACTATAAGAGAAGAATTTTCATTTTACTACAATACTTGTACGCAGACTTCTGCGTTGCGAAATGACAATTATGTGAAAAATTTATTGATATAACTATGATATCAGATTTTCACTGCTTTAAACTCTATGAGATTCTGAACAGACTAGTAATAGAGCACCTAATGTGATTTTATTCTAAAATTTAGTGTGTAAAAGATATTTTTTAACAAGAGAAAATAAGACATAAGCGTGTACGCAGACTTTTTCTGCCTAGTGTATATCTTTTCAAGTCTTGGAAAAGTCTGTTCTTTTAACTTCTGAAGAAGCTTTTTCTTCTTCTTACTTACTATGATGCCGTATTGATCTGCTGTATTTACGAGTAGCTGAGGTTGTACCTCAGCTGCAGTATGCTGATAACCAGGGAAGAGAGAATTCATAAATAGGATATATTGATACGATACTTTTACAATGTCTTCCTTAGTCTGGCGGATTCTTTGCAGCTTTCTAGCGATGTGCAGAAAAACTGTCATGAGTCTGCGTTTGCTTTCCTGGCTGCTGTTTGGTATGGCTTCAAGATATCTTTGTAAGGTTGCTAAATTTTGGTCCCTATAACTATCATTGAAAGCTTTTCTCACTTGTATTATAAGGTTCTTGAGGTCAACGTTCCAGCAAAGAGCGACTTCGTCTGTTGAAGAACCGTTATCCATTTCTGTTTATAGCGTAAGATCCAAGACTTTCTCTCAGCCCTAAAAATGTACCGAGCTTGGAAAAATTAATGTTGGCTTAGATTGCTATTTAGAATATATTGTAAAAGCTACTCACCCATGGTGTTTATGTTGGAGCTTACCCATATGGTGTGGCTTGCGTTGGCGTCACGCCGCATTATAATATTATCCTTACTGTTCCCCTTTGTTAGTCATGAGGGCGATTCTGGTGGCAGGTCCCCGTCATGGGCCATGTATGAAACCAGAAAAAAGTTACCTCTTTTTTCTTTCCCTTTACCATTGTGGTATATGGGTACCATGTCCTTGGCTTACTTTCATTTTGTTTTTAAAAAATTTTGTTGCTACTTCTATTTTGCCTTTTGATTGAGTTCTCTTTCAATTAAGCTGATGTCGACGCCCCTCTCATATAAGATAGTTGTTAGATCCGCTGTAGCACTTTTCGAGTGCTGCAGATCAATCTGCACGCACCTAAGTATTTAGGGCATCTTGGTGTTCTCATATTGTAACATTCTTTAGTAACTGGCGTCGTCAACCTCTTTTGTATCGTCTTCGTCAGCCGCTTCGTCGACTTGAAATATGTGCATCCTAGCCTTTCCCATACCAAAGCTGATTTTATTATCAGATGTTGATACAGCTCCTATCGACTTAGATTTATTTTTCAGCTTGATGCGCCTTAGGAGCTTTTCGCCACCTCTCTCGTGTATGGTGCTTGGTGAGGAGAAGTTTCCGTCAATGAAAGCCGCCTGCAGGTTGTCTCTAGCAACATCACTGAAGTGCCTTACAATTACTGCATTGTTCTTATCTGTTAATTGTCTGGGTTTTTTGTTCAAATTTGCCGTCTCTTCATTTTGTGAGCGATTCCTTTTCTGGGAACCGCTTAGCTTGCTGGTTTCGACAGCAGGATCTGATTGTTTCCTTTTCAAGAAACTGGCGCTGGCACTTTAACATGATACCGGCTTGTTCTGTTTCGTTTGATATATTTGCTACCTTTATTTAAATTTAAAGGTCACTCCAATCGTGTAGATTCCTTTCTTTGCTGAGCGGTTTACCTGATTTCTTAATAATTTTGCTTTATCATAGTATTAAAGGGATAACTGAGAAATAATATGTATAGGTACACAATAATAATATTCCGATTGCTCTAGATTGTGAAGGACTCTTTGATATTAACCAAAGTAACGAGTTTTCTTTTGTAAAGATAAACGGATCGGCAAACAGATATTGTGAAATTAATTCGTCTCGTCGTTTGTGAGAGTTAAACAAAAATATTAATGGCATTTCCTTACTTGTGTTCAAGTGACGAGTTTGATTAGTTTTCAAATCACATCGAGCAGTTCTTATCAGAGTTACATTGCACATTTGTTTCTGATTTAGTAGTAGTAAAAACAACTTTAAACAATATGAGTAGGCATTAGTTAGAATAAATATAACTGAATTTAATAAAATGATCTAATAGAATTAATAAAATTATTGCTTGCTATTAAATACGTTTTTAACTATTAATATTACTCAGGATATTGAAATTTTTGACCTGGAAGACTTCAAATATAATGGTGTTAACATTACGGCCTTTCGCCTAGTAGACGTGGAAAGCCAACGCTATAAAGAAGTTATCGAACAAATGAAAAAATTACCTCATAGCGGATTGGACTACATAAATGAGAAGCCATATATACAGGTATGAAACTTTTAAATATTCGGAATTTTTTGTTTTATATACACGTAGAAAAATTTTATCCGACACACCATTTCTTTGCACATTTTATATGCTCAAGAAAGCATGTCCACATCGTTTTAGTAATTTACGGTTGCTTGTAGCATCTAAAAAAAATAGGGATTTATGTAGAGTATTGTTAAGTGTGCATACTTTCCGAATAATAACACGGTCTGACGTTAAAATAGATCAAATCGATTCTTCTTATGAGGTGTGGCATGACTTTCCTGTCGACTTTATATCGTATATATCAATCAGAATTTATAATATTTTAATGAAATTATATGGATATATTTATTTGCACATCATGTGTTTTAATGCAGCATTAAAATTGTAGAAATTTGTCCATATGTTCAACCAACCCTAATGTATTATACACATAGACGACGGCAGAAGACAGGAAGTATCTGTCAAATATTGAAATAAGTTAGGTGACAAAATGATAAGGTCAATTTGTACTTAGTACAGTATAAGCAAACGGAAATTCCTTAAAAATGGTAACCATATAAAAAAAATTATATATGTTACGAGAGAGAAAAAACCGCTTTGGCACGTGAAAAGATACCGTTCGATTTGCCAAAAAGTGCGTTTATTTAAATAAGTGCACAATACATTTTGACAAAATGATAAGTTCAGTCTTTAAAAAGCTGTTGATTAGTGCGCACGACATTAGCTTCGATACAGAGAGCTTTTGTATTTAAATTTTGAGTATTAAAAAGAGGAAATGGGACATGTTAAGTCGTTCTCTAGCTGTGAACAAGGACAAATTTCTGCTTTGTATACTCAGAAAATAAGCATGAAAGAATGTACAAAATTTTGTCAAAAACAGAGAAAATTACGAGAAATTGAAAAGTACAGGTCGACCAAAGATTCTAACTACGCGTGAAACCCGTGGTTAGAGGACCACAATATTGAATTGCTTGACTGGCCAGCACGTTCTTACGATCCTTATATTATGGAGAATTTATGCGGACTGATAGTACGCCAGGTGTATGCCGAAAATAAACACTACGGATCAATTGAAGAACTAAAAGTGGCAATATGCAACATTTGGCGAAAAATTCGCTGTGACGTTCTGCAAAACCTTATTAATTTTATGCCCAACAGAGTTTATAAAACAATTGAAAATAATGAAAATTGCATAAATTAATAATAACTTAAAAATGTTACAATTGAAATAAAAATGTCGTTACCAAAATTACTGACCTTATCATTTTGTCGCAATGTCTTGTGCACATTTTGGTAAATCTAACGGTATCTTTCCACGTGTCGAAGCGGTTTTTTCTCTCTTATTTAGATATAGAACTTTTTTAATATAGTTACCATTTTCAAGGAATTTTATTTTGCTTACACTGTACTAACTGTTAAGTGACCTTATCATTTTGTCGCGTACCTTATACTATTATATGTTCGCACCGAATTAAAATCCTCTTGAAAATACAATTTGTGGATTGTAGAACCAAAGTCGTTCTGACCGACATTGTGTGTTTTCGATGAGTTTTCATTGACAGTTCATACATCTATTTGTTTACATTTGTTATGTACCCTACAAGAACAGTGACGGTCATCTGATGGGTAATATGACAGTCATAACTGAAAAACATTTTGTCAGCGCGCAGAACAAAGTTTCTATCATTTTCTTAAGAGCCTTGTTTCCTTTTTGGTTTTTTGTTTTGTTTTTTCTGAGTCATTGCTGACCATAAATCCGTCATAGCTGAAAATTGTCAGTTATGACTGAAACGCTATCAGAAGTGAAAAATTCTTTTGCGCAGTAGATAATATAATTTTTATTTCTTTAATAAATTTCAAACTTTTAATCAAAATTAGTTATAATAATATACCTTAATATAATGTAAAAAGGAATGCAACAAAAAATATCAAAATATCAAAATAAATTTTCACTTGATGCCATCTCCTCCTCTCAATAGCTCTGCGTACGTCTTTCTCCAATCAGTGGATATTTCTGAATTTAAAAATTCAAATGTAAATTAACAGTACTGACATATCAAATGTGAGTGTATTGGTGAACCCATCAGCAGTTTCTTGTAGGGTACGTTTAGGCCAATTATGGAATGTAAACAAATTATCAACTGACATTTAGGGCTGGCAAAATATGTCTTCTAATAATATCGATTAAACTAGAGCAGGCACCGACTATAATGAGTGGAATTTAAGTTTTCAAGGGGTTTTCGTTTGACAGATTTTGTATGGATGAAAACACAAGTTTTCGCGTGAAAACCTCTTTTGTCTTTGAAAACACGAATTTTGTGTCGAACATAGTAATATACATGTTTTTATGGGCACAGTTACAACAGCACGACTTCACGGCGCCAGCCATTTTTAATTTTGGCGACGACAATGGGCAGCTGTATTCAAAGCTTTAACAAGTCTAACGTTATTTAACCAACGGAAGCATAAAATAGCTCATATATATTATTTGTAATAACAATTGAGAATTTAAAATAATTTAATCGACCTATTTTTTGCAGAAAATATTTCACTTTGAACAAAATATTTAAATTTTATTCAAGTGAAAAGTTTTAGTACGGCAACAACGAAGTTGTATACATTAGCTTGTATCATAGAAATAAGTAAAGAGTATGTTGATTCGATCCCCTTTCCTTTATATACACATTCTACTAAATTCCGTTCGTCCGTGCTAACGATAACTTGAGTAAAAGTTAAGATAGCTTGTTAAAATTTGCTACCAAAGGTTTCTTATCACTCTGAGGAGGTTGGTGTTGCAATTGGAGATATAGGTCCACTAATACGCTCACAGAATGCCATTAAGAAAAAAACTCTTAAATGCTATAAGCAAGGGATAGATTAAGCTACAAAACTTATATTTGGTACAGTCGTGTCAAAGTGGGAACGAGGGAATTGTGGTTTACAACTTTTAGAATTTGAAATAACAATTAAACGTAAGACACTCTTAATTGACCTACAAAAAAATTTCAACGAATATTGACACATACATCGATCTTTAAATATGTGAAATGCTATAAGCAAGGGATAGATTTAGCTACAAAACTTATATTTGGTACAGTCGTGTCACAGTGGGAACGAGGGAATTGTGGTTTACAATTTTTAGAATTTGAAATAACAATTAAACGTAAGACACTCTTAATTGACCTACAAAAACATTTCAACGAATATTGACACATACATCGATCTTTAAATATGTGAATGCAAGTGTTACATATGTATACACAATAATATGACTTGCTTTTGTTCCCTAAGGGGTTATATACAGTTAGAAGGCCGAAAAATAGTGAGTTTTCCAGAACATTTTCTAAAAAACTTTTAAATTCATAGATCCAAAAATTTATACACATATTATAGTATACTTTAACTATATTTTAAGACTTAGAACTAGTAAAAATATTTATTTGGAAAAGAGCTACAGCTCATCTCCGATAGCTCCTCTCAAAACAGACGTTTTGCGGTGACCACTATATCTCTGAACTGGATCATCTTAAATAAAAAAGCAAACAGATTTCGTTAAAGTAATGTTAAATTTAGTAATTAATCCAAGGAATAAGCAAAATAAAATTGTTTGACAAAATTCCGGTTTCTCAAAAAAAAAAGAAAAGATTTTTCACCGAAATTTCAGCCTTAAGTGGTTTATAAAAACAAAAATAATTATCGGAGAAAAAATCTTCAATTAATTACTAAAAAATATATTTTAGAAGAAGTGTTAAAGTTTGAGACTAATTGGTTTAGCCGTTTTCGAGTAATGTTGGTCACCGACTTTGAAACACCATTCTGAGAAAAGCGTGTTTAAAATTCTTCGGCTCTGGCCTTGTACTTCCAAGCCCTCTGAAACGCCTTTTCAAATTTGCGTGTAACTTCGAAAATAATCACCGGAACAATATAAAATTGTCTGCTTGTATTGACTGACAGAAGCAGCTACTTACGATCTAGACAGCATTGAGTGGAGTATAATACTCACAAACCAATTGTACACGCATGACGAATTCTTGGCTGCGACGGAATTGCTGTACACACAAATATTATTCGACTACGTCGGATATGTGACGCAAGTGCAGGTGATAATCGTGTAACGAATCAATTGGACATACGATTAGGTCCAATTAAGATTCCTGTTTTCAATGGCGATCCAGCGCATTGGCTGCCTTTTAAGGATTTGTTTGAGGCACTGGTTCACAATCGTACATATCTGGATTCCAGTTACAAATTAAGTAAGTTACGCCAACATGTAAATGCAGACAGCGTACCATTGGTCGGCGGATTATTTACAGGCGGCTATGAGGACATGTGGCAGGAATTGAAACGGCGTTTTGACAATCCACGGTTGTAGGTTGAATCTCACGTGCAGCGTATCTTGGACTTGCCCAACTAACCCGTCGAGTATCAGAAGTGCTTGCTCCGACTAGTCGACACCGTGCAAAATGTGATGCGAGCCCTAAGTGTTATGGGTCTTCCGGTAAATCATTGGGACGCCCTATTGGTACCACTTCTGCTGCCCAAAATGCTTACAACCACCAGGTATGAGTGGGGATGAGCCTTCAGACGAACAACATCACAATTACCCAGGACTTTTTAATATTTATTAAGAAGCGTGCCAACAATTTGGTTCAAGGAGCTACGAACGGTACAGCAACTACTCATCAGAGACCAGCCCGTCCTGTTAAAGCTTATGTGGCAGCGGTAAATTCATCTGAGCCGTTACGTTCCGGGAAAGGTGCAATGGTTTTGTGCCAACCTTGTTCTAACGGGCACCGAATATATAAATGTCAACGGTTCATCAATATTTCAATCTTCGGACGGTGGAATACAGCTAAGCGGCTCTCATTATGTTTCAATTGTCTTGGGGCTGATCATGGATCGCGCGATTGTACATCGCGTGACTGTTTAAGATGCCATCACCTCCATCATACTATGCTTTACAAAGCCAACGTTGCACACAATTCACCGACTATGGTGGAAGACATTAACAGTCA